GGGCAAGCGCACACGCCCTATAGCAAAAACCTCTACAAAAAAAAAAAAATGCTACAGGGCACATATGCTCACCAGAGACACACACGTGGTGGGGAGGGGAATGAGAAATTCTCCCGGGTCTATGTCAATGTCACAGTCCCTTCTCCTCCATTCTCCTCTTGGGATTCTGGGCATGCATGCCAACACCCCAGTGAGTTTCTCAAGATCCCGGGTCCGGGACTCGAACCTCTGAACTGATCATGTGCGATTCAGCTGCCTTAACCACCATGTCTCTGGCGGGTCCCCACAGTGATCTCTTTAGCAAATCTAAGCCCGGCCACGTGAACGCTCACCCGCCTGCCCGAGAGCAGGCCACAGCAGGACATCCACGGTGAGCCGTGATTAAGTTTCCGGCTGGGAAAGTTCTCCTCGGCCTCGGGGTCTGGACCCTCCACGTTACCTAATCCGTTAGCAGAAACCGCACAGGGGTTATCTACCCACTGTGCTCTGCGCCCATGGCCCCGGGCCCCCTGGGGAGCACAACCTGGACAAAACGCTTCCCCTGTCTTCTCTGGTTTCCTAGGCGGGGCGGAGATCTTATCGTCATTGGCCTAGAGAAGGATTCCGGCGCCCAGCGGGGCCGAGTCATCGCCGTCCTAAAAGCCCGGGAGCTGACTCCGCATGGGTAAGACCGAGGGGGCTCCTTTAGACCCCGGGGCGTGGCCAGGGAACCGAAGATCCCAGCGTCACGTCCTGTCCGTGGCTGCCCCTCCGTTCTCGCCAATAACTGCCATCCACCAGCGAGACCATGGGGCCTGGCAGGAACAGCACGGGAGCCTCAGCAAATACCAGCCGACTCAGCCCAACCATGGGTCATGGCAGGGGTCCACCACAATTGAAATGGCAATCCAGGGGCCAGCAGGTGGCATAGTGGTTAAGGCTCTGGACTTCAATGTGGCTGACTACAGTTCGAGCCCCAGACCTGGTGGCTTGAAACTCAAGCTGGGAGCGTGTGCATGTGTGTCCAAAACCCCAAAAGGAGGATGGAGGAGAAGGGATTACAACATGGCTACTCCCCTGGGGCGGGGGGTGATTTCTCGCTTTCTGTTTCTCTATCCGGCTCTGTCTCTCCAGTGAGCACACGTGCCTTACGGCAAAATTCTCCAAAAAAATAAGAGAAAGAAAGAAATGGAAATCTATCCTGGACTCATTGTCCTTCCTGCCAAGAACTAAAGTCTTGCCCCCCACACACACACCCACACAGCACCAGACGGGGCTGATGACCCAGGTGCCCTCTGCCCTTGGCTGTCGCCCCTAACCTGGAGGCATGGCTCCACGCCCGTCTTTCAGGGAGTACCAGCGGGAGGCACGCTTGTCTCCACAGGGAGGGTGTGCTGGGCTAGACGCCCATCCAGGACACGGTCCCCGTACGTGGCCGGGTTGCTGTGAGGCTGGAGCTGGGCCAGCCAGGTGGCATGGTAGTTAAGGCAGGTAGATTCCACATGGCCGACTGCATGGTTCGAATCCCGGACCCAGTAACTTGGAAAACATGCTAAGCACAGATGCGTACATGCCTAAAAATCCTGAGAGGAGAATGGAGAAGGAATTGCAGCATGGCCATCCCCGGACCCGGCGGCTTAAACTCATGCCAGGCACGTGTGCATGCGTGCCTGGAATCCTGAGAGAATGGAGGAGAAGGGATTGCGGCGTGGTCATCCCCCCTGGGGGGTGATTTTTCACTTTCTGCCTGCCTATCCTCTGTCTCTCTGGTGAGCGTACATGCCCTATAGCAAAAATCTCTCTATAAAAAAAAGCTTAACCCCAGTCATGAGCCATTCATGAGCATGAATTCGAGTGCTGGTGTCTTCTGGACACTCAGAGGAGGGTGCTCTGATGGCACCAGGCGCGTTTCAGAGTGTCCCTTACAGGTCATGGCCATGAACATGGATCAGTGATCCTCTGCCCTTAGTTAGACTTTATAAAGCCTCCACCCCACCTCCTACCCCCCGCTGGACCACCAGGCACATCCCAGAGCCAGGCTGGTTACACAGGCCCCGTGTGCCCTCCCAAGGGCAAGTGAGGACTCCCGTGGGGTTCCTCACAACCCTCTCTCTGCAGGGTACAGGTGGACGCGACTGTGGTGGCCAAGGACGCGGTGGCGTGCTGCTTTGTGAATGAAAACGCCCAGTGGTGCCTGGCTGTCTGGAGGGGCTGGGGCTCCAGGGAGTTCGACATTTTCTACCAGTCCTATGAGGAGCTGGGTCGACTGGAAGCTTGTCCGAGGAAGAGGAGGTAATGTCCGTAGTAGGACTGCAGCACCGAGCTGGCCTTCTGGAGCTTCAGCCTACAACCTGCAGCCCTCTGAGGACCCCAAAGAGATGGAGCTCTATCCTGAACTCCTCGCTGCTAAGAACTGCTTACGAGTTACCAGGCTGGTGGTGGTTGGGGGTTCTTGGGTTCTGTAGAGCAGAATTCCTGAGACCCTCACGTCCCTGGTGCTGATTTTACAACCCTATGGTAGATGGAGGATCATGCAACCTCTTCCGTCAGCTTCCAGAAGGGAAAGCGACCCAGTTCTGAGATGGGTCACATAAAGTGAGACCAGGCCCGTCCTGACATAAAGGGCCTGCCGTTTTCATCCTCAGCTCTCGGATGGAATTACACTAGCGCCTCTCTCTCGAGGAGCAATTCAGGGCAGGGCGGGAGGAGGGCCACGACCCCTGCCCTCTTCCCAGGGGACCCCAGGTTCTCAGCACATTTCATAAGCCCCTGAGTCCCCCAGGTTTGGGGCCGGCTCAGGGAAGCTGAGATCAGATGTCTCCCTGCTTGGGAAAATCTCTGCAAGAGAAACCCCCAGAAGGACCCTACACACCGAGCATTGCCCAACCCAGCCAATGAATGAGCCCCTGTAAGTGCCCCTGTAGGAAAGCCCAGGGGTACATATTTGGAGAGCGTTCTTGGCCTTGACATTCTTCTCCTGCGGGCAAAAAGGAGAAACTCAATCAGCCAGACTCGGGAAAGGGCTTTGTGTTTATAGCTTTGTAAAATAAACTTGGACACAGCTGAAGCACAAGCCCTGGTTGTTTGCACATAATAATCTTGTTTATCACTTGAACAAATTAAGTAATATCTCCGCGGTGAGGCCTCTGGTTGTGAAATCTCAGCCTATGGGCCTCATACCAGATCACGTGTTTGCTAAACATTCAACGCACCCATGTACAGTCGTGAGGTGGGCAGCAGCCAGCATTTTTTTAATAAGTGGTGCACACGGACATGTATGCACAGTACATGCATACATGCATGCATGTATGCATACACACGTGCCTGACAAACCACGTCTTTGCCCAACATAACCACTGGAGGCTACCCAAGTAGCCAGAACGGGAGTTTGAAAGGAACCTCAAACTCCACTCAAGTGGTTGATCCTTTTCTAAAATGAAATGATGAAAAACCAAACCTAAAGTTTATTCGGGGGTATACCAGCAGATGTGATTCCTTTTATCTGCAAATAAACAGACTCTTAGCAATAGGGCACATGTGCTTGCCAGAGGGACAGAGAAAATGAGGGAAAAAAAAAAGGAGGGGATAGCCATGCCCCAATCTCTTCTCCTCTCCAGATTTTGAGCACATGCCCCGTGAGTTTCTCAAGAGACTGGCTCCCGGGCTGGCAGGTAGTGTAGTGGTTAAGGTGCTGGACTTCCACAGTTCAAGTCCCTGACCGGGCAACTTGGAACTCACACCAGGCACGTGTGCGTGCGTGCCCAAGATCCCGAGAGGAGAATGGAGGAGAAGGGATTGCGGCATGGCTATCTCCCTAGGGGATGATTTCTTGCTTTCTGTCTCTCTGTCTCTCTGTCTCTGTCTTTCTGGTGAGCACACGTGCCCTATAGCAAAAACCTCTCCAAAAAAAAAAAAAAAGAAAGAAAGAAAAGAAAAGTCGATGCAGTTTTGCATAGAAAAACAGAAAAATGCTCCATGACTTCTCCGACAACCCAGTAGCTCACTTGTCTTGTATACAGAGTCTGCGTTTATCAAGAAAAACGAGAAAACCCAATGGAAAAATGGGCAAAGAGCGTGACTAGGCAACTGAATTACAAAGAAACACACACAGGGCTGTTTGCACGGACACCCTGCCTCACTCGGTCAGGAAGGCCCCAGCCAAACGCTGTTTACTGCACTCATGGTGACAAAGATTAAATGACCAGCCATTTCTCACACACCTGCTATCAGGCACCGTCACAGAGACTGTGACAATCAGACAAGAATCTCTGCTTTGGGGACCAGCAGGTGGCATAGGGATTATGGCCGACTGCGGTTCAAGTACCAGACCCAGTGACTTGAAAATCATGCTGGCTGCATGTGTACGCATGCCCAAAATCTCAGGAGGGGAATACAGAAGGGACAGTGGTATGACCATCCCCCATTGAGGTTGATTTCTCACTTTCCCTCTCTCTGTCTCTTTCTATCTCTCTCCTCTCTGGCAAGCACACATGCCTTATAGCACTAAATTTTTATTTTTATTTTTTTTTTGGAGAGCTTTTTGCGATCGAGTGCGTGCACTCACCAGACAGACAGAGAGACAGAAAGCAAGAAGTCACCTTCCAGGGGGAGATGGCCACGCCGCAATCCTTTCTCCTCCATTCTCCTCTCGGGATCTTGGGCACGCACGCACACGCGCCTGGCGTGAGTTTTAAGCCACCGGGTCCGGGATGTGAACCACGATCGGCTACATGGGAGTCCAGCGACATAGCCATTATGCTAACTGCTGGTCCCATGGCAATAAATCTTAAAAAAGAACCTTTGCTTTGAAGAGCTCTGTTGTAGTGGGTGGAGGTGACCATGAACACACAGATAAGACAGTTGAGAGGCCATGAATTCGGGAAATCGGTGATTAATGGCCAACAAGGCTGCTCTGATTTAAATGAGGCTGGGAAGACCTGCAAGGGAGGTATCATTTCAGAAGGAAGCATTTGTGTGGTGATCTGGGGGCACGGGAAGAAGGCCCTGCATGTGCAAAAGCCCTGTTGTGTGAACGAGCCACTGTGTTGAAAGACAGATGAAAGGAAAGTGTGGTCAATGAAGGAAGAGCCCAGGGCAGCTAACCTTGGAATTATAGGCATGGATCTCCACTGAAACTGCTGGCAGTTTTAAGCAGGAGTATTAGACAATTGAATTGTCTCATTAAAATAATAATTATAATAATAAAATCACTTCACTGAGTGGAGGCTAGACAAAAGAGGAAGGAGTCTACATCAGACCATCCCTTAGAGAGACAGCCCTCAACCTTTTGGGCACCCAGGGACTGATTTCATGGAAGACAAAATTCTCTCATGGACCAGGGGATGGGAGGACAGCACGTTACATTTATTATGCACTTTAGTATTATTACATTGTAATATATCATGAAATAACGATACAACGCACCATAATGCAGTATTTGCAGCTGTTCCCCAGTGCTAGTATCACTGCCTCAGCTCCACCTCAGGTCTCATATCTCAGGCATCAGATTCTCCTAAGGAGCACACAGCCTAGATCCCTCACATGCACAGCTCACAATAGGGTTCATGCTCCAATGAGAATCTAATGCCTGGCAAGAGGCGGAGCTCAGCGGTAAGATGAGCAATGGGGAGCGGCTGTAAATACAGATGAACTTTCATTCACTTGGCCACCGCTCTCCTCCTGCTGTGCAGCATGGTTTCTAACAGAGCCATGGACCAGTACCACTCCATGGCTCAGGCCTTGGGGACCCCTGCCTTAGAGGGCATTTTAGCCATTATCTACCAAAATGTCAAATGCACCTACCCTTTGACCTAGCCGTTCCACTTAAGTATTTGATCCTGAAATGTCTGTGAAAGTGCCCAAAGATACAGAAAACAAGAATGTGCATTGCAATGTGATAAAGACCCCCAAAAGGCAACAGCTCAAACCTTTGTCAGGAGGAGTCATCAAATTCATTTATGCAACAATGCAATACTTTGTAGCCCTTCAAAAGTCATCAGTGTTAACCTTGCCTGCCTGAAATGTTCTCTAAGGTGTAATAAATGTTCTGGTTTTTTTTTTTTTTTAAAGCTATTTGCAGTGCATTGTGTATTGAATTGGTAACTGCATAAAATACATCATCGTGCTAAGAATATGTCCAAATAAATATTCCAAAGTACACTCATAAACCTGAGAGATATTGGGTGCCTCTGGGGAGAACTGAGGGCTGGCGTGGAGGAGTGAGTCCTTCATACCTTCCTCTCTGTGTTCAAAATCGTATGCACACCGAGCCAGCAGGTGACATGGTGGTTAAGGCGCTAAACTCCCACATGACCAACCGCAGTTCAAGTCTTAGACCTGGCAGCTTGAAACTCACACAGGGCATGTGTGTGTGCATGCCCAGGAGGAAAATAGAGGAGAAGAGATTGCAACATGGCTGTCCCTTCTGCGGGGTGATTTCTCACTCTCTCTCTCTCTCTCTCTGTCTCTCTCTTTCCAGTGAGCACACATGCCCTATGGGAAAAACCTGTTTTAAAAATATTGTATGCATGCTGGGAACAGCAGTTGGCGTAATGGCTGTATCACTGGACTCCCATGTAATCGGCCATGGTTCAAGTCCTGGACCTGGTGGGTTAAACTCACACTGGGCACATGTGCATGCATGCCTAAGATCCCAAGAGGAGAATGGAGGAGAAGGGATTGTGGCGTGGCAATCCCCCCTGGGGGGGGGGATTTCTCACTTTCTGTCTCTCTGTCTCTGTCTCTCTGGTGAGCACACGTGCCCTATAGCAAAAACCTCTCCAAAACAAAAAATATTGTGTGCATGTCTTTTATAGAGGTAAACCAGACTGGGAGGACTGTCTCCCCATGATCTAGGAAGAACCTTCCCATCCTTAGTTTCCTGAGATAATGGGAGTCCCTTCTGTCCTCTCTCCCCTCTCCTCCATGGCAAGCCCCTGGCCCCATGAAAGGTGTCAAGTCTCAGAGCAGAGCCTACTCTCTGGTAATCCCATCTTGTCTATTTCACTCCATGGTCTTGGGACCGCCCTGACCATTTGGGGATTCAGGTATAGCGGGGGTCAGAAGGGGGGTGGTGGGCCACCATCCATCCGATCTCACCAGAGTTCACGCTTGCCCTGGGATTGACAGGGCATGCAGCTCACACACCTAGACAAGGTCCCTCATCTCCCCGCAGTCCCCAGCCCCAGCAGATGGCTCCATGGTCCCCTCCCTGCCCTCTGTCCTGCACCTGAAAAAGCAGTGGCCTCTCTGATGACTGGTCACCAGCTGAAAGCCTCCAGTTCCCACCTGCCAGAGCCACCAGTTGCTCAGCCTTGCGGGGTCTTTGCAATGACCCTGCCTGGGGGGGGTGCATAAAAAGTAAACTGAGGGGCCAGCAGGTGGCATGGTGGTTAAGGGTACTGGACTCCCACAGGGCTGACTGTGGTTCAAGTCCTGGGACCGGTGGCTTGCTTTCTCACTTTCCCTCTCTCTCTCTTTCACACTCTGTCTCTCTCTGGCCAAATTAAAATAAATAAATAAATAAATAAAATTAAGTTCAATAAAATAATTAGTTTAAAAAAATGTAAACAGAAATGTGGTGTCAATTCTGATCTAGGCAACAAACTCAGGAGTTGGTTCGAAACTCTTCTTTCAAGGGAGCAAAAAGAACCCATACCCTTCCCCGCACAAAACCCCACAGGAATCCTCAGCCTTGTAAAATGCAAACATGCCTGGGACCAGCAGTTGCCATAATAGCTACATCGCTGGACTCCCATGCAGTCGACTGCAATTCGAGTCCCAGACCCGGTGGCTTAAACTCACGCCGGGCGCGTGTGCGTGCGTGCTCAAGACCCCGAGAGGAGAATGGAGGAGAAGGGATTGCGGCGTGGCCATCCCCACTGGGGAATGATCTCTCACTTTCTATCTCTCTGTCTCTCTGTCTTTCTGGCAAGTACATGTTCCCTATGCCAAAAACCTCTCAAAAACAAAAACAAAAATGCAAACATGCCTAAGAATATTTATATATGTACCATTTCTGACAAATAAGACTGATCAAATGCACAAAAAAAAAAAAAATAAATAAAAACAAACCTCACCTCACTCATAGCACCTGCAGGGCTGCGGTGTAGGCTGCTGCTACCTGTCTTTTCTCATGCAGAAGGCATTTCGGGGGAGATACGGGGACATGGAAACATTCCCACGGCTCAGAAGAATCGGCAAGTGTGAAACACCCCAGATGCTAGCAGGCTGCACTCTGAGAATAGCCCCCCCCCCCCCCTGGCATCCCAGGCCCTCTGCAGCCCCTAAAAACCTAATGGTATTTCTCATCCAGACAGTCTTAGGGGGAAACAGAATGGGGTGCATTCATTGCAATAGCGCGTCAATGATCACTGTGGAAGACACTGTAGCTCTGGGGCCAGCAGATGGCATAATGGTTACATCACTGGACTCTCATGGAGTCGACAGCAATTCGAGTCCTGGATCTGGCGGTTTAAAACTCACAACGGCCCGGGATCAGCAGATGGCATAGCAATTACATCACTGGATTCCCACAGTTCGAGTCCCGGACCCAGTGGCTTCAGAATCACACTGGATG